AAAAATGGACTATGTGGGAAGTAAAATGCTACTGAACCATGAAAAGAGGGATTTTCAAAAGTCAGTTGTTTAAACAAACTTTTGACTTAAGCATCACCATGACCCAGCAAGCCATGTGCACTCCCTTTAGAGGATTAAATTAATGGTCCCTATATCATTTACACTACTAGGGGGAAAGTCATCCCAGTTAGACTAATTGTGAGTTTTTCACTCAACAGTCACTCACAAATGTTTATGGTCATTGAAGATTTCCCATGCACTCTTCTATGCTCTCTGAAAAACAGCTCAAAATCCCCGTGCTATAAGTTACATTTTTATTGGAAAATGTAATGCAATACTCCAAACAGAAGAGTTTATCTACTTTCACTCGGATAAGGCATCTGTATTAGGCAGGGTTCTCCAGAGAAACAGGACCACCAGGATATATACACACAGAGAGAGATTTATTTCAAGGAATTGGCTCGCACAATTGTGGAGGCTTAGCAAGTTCAAATCTGTAGGGCAGGCCGGCTGCTGGAGACCCAGGTAAGAGTGGCCGTTTAAGTCCAAAGGCAACCCGCTGGCAGACTCCCGCTTCTCCCAGGAAAGTCGGTATTGGGGTTTGGGGTGGGTGTTTTTTAAAGTCATTTAACTGATTGGATGAAACCCACCCACATTATGGAGGGTAATCTGCTTTACTCAGTCTACTGATTTAAATGTTAACTCTTAAAACAAACAAACAAACAAATAACCTTCACGGAAACGTCTAGAATAATGTTTAATGGCCTAGTCACGCTAACACATAAAACTATTCATCACAGTGTCTTAGTTTTATGTGCAAACCTTAATCACTTGCAAAAATAACCAGAGTCTGTGTGAATCGGTCATAGAGGATGTGTGGGAAGAGAGCTCTGGAGGTGTGTGTTTGCCTTCGGTTGAGAAACTGAACTTCAACTCACCCAGCCCTGCAAAATATTCTCAAATTGTTTGGGATTGTTACCCGTTGCACCTAGGGTTGAGCCAAGTACACATCTAGTCTCCACAGCAATTGGAACAAGGCAAGAGGGTAGAGACACCCCGAATCCACCCACGTGTACACAGCCTGACCCTATATTCACACAGCATCATGAGCAACTGAGGAACCCTGTGAGCCTCCAGGGCCAGAAACTGTGCAGGCCCACCTGGGGAGGATACCATTGTGTCCCTCACACTGCAGAGCCATCCATCAACACAGGAAAGTTCTAGTACCATGTACTTACAGGAAATCGCATCCTCTGCCTGTGTCTATCAGGGCCATCCAGTTGAGTGGCTGCTAGTCTGTTTGTTACCAAACATAGCAGTAAATCCATTGCAGCGAAAATCACAGATCCAAAGTCCAGGTACTCCCCAAAGCACACGGTACCCCTTGCATATAAAATATTCCATATGGGCTTAAAAACACTCCCCACATTGTGTCAAATACATACAACACAATTGAAAAACATTAATCAGTGCAATCTGTTGAACAGATGCAGAAAGCAGTAAACTGTCTTTTCAGTGTAATCTTCAAATCACTTAATTCTATAATGTTTCCCTCTCCCCATGAATGTAAAAGCTATAAATATCCTGTTGGAACAAAATCACTTCAAATGTCTTGCTCAACAGTCCCCCATCATCCCTCAAAGTATTTGCATTTTTCTTAGTTGAGTAATAATTACCAATTCCATGGAACATCAAGTTCAATTTTATTGGAGAAGGAAGGAGGGGAGGAGGACGGAAGAAGAGTTGGAAAAGAAGGAGGGAAAGAGTAGGAGAGGGGGGAGCAATGAGGAGAAGGAGACGGAGAAAGATGAGATGGAGGGAGAGGAGGGGAAGAGGAGAAGGAGCTAAAAGAAAAGGAGGAGAACGCATTTTAGGACAGCTTCAACTTATTCATGAGCTTTAATGAAGAAAAAAAAATATGTTCAGAATATAATGAAATTATAATACTTCTGACATACAAGGGGGGCTTTCTTTCAAGTGGAAGTAAAATATTAACAAGACAAAAGGAAAATGTTAGGAAGAATCCACCTCTGAGCAAATACTAGAACACTGGTTTCTAAATCCTACCTCCTGATTCTAGTCTAGTTTATCGCAATGTTTTGACACCATGATACTTTAAATATTACTAGCAGTGCTGTGTGATAGACAGTCCTTATTAAGCAGGTCACATATAATGGAAGAATAGAATCTAGGTGTGTCTGTGTTATTAAGATGAAGTAAAATACCACTTGCAAAGTGATTTCACTTGATGAAGCCATATTTCGCTAGAGTTAAAATGTACAAGGCATCGTATGATCATGTTCAGTATGAGAAACAAGGGCGGGGAGCAAACCACATTGACTTAGAAAGCAGTTACCTCTTCACCTAAGCAAGATTTGAATTAAATAAAGAAACACGGATTGACAAGTCACGGAATTTCACAGTGAGAGCTACGAGGTACCTCGGTGACCAGCCTGGCTACTTGGCTTTACAGAGGCAGCAGCTTCAGTGCAGAGGGCTCAAGGGATTTAGCCAAAGTCAGACAGATGAGCAGCAGAGTGGGCATTCAACCCAGACACGAGGACTCAAGTGCAATACCTTTGCCGGGGAGCCCCTCCAGGTGTTACTTTTCAGTGTGTGCTGCAGCCTGAATGTCTGTGTCCCTCCAGATTCTCATGAGGAAATCCTAATGCTCAATGTGATGTGTTAGGATGTGGGACCCGTGGACGGGTGGGGCCCTCATGAATGGGATTCGTGCTTTTATAAAAGAGGCTCCAGAGAGCTCCCTAGCACCTTCCACCAGGTGAGGACACAGTGAGGAGTCCCTGCTGGTTATAAGATGCCCAGGATGTGGTTACTGTGATACAGCATCCGGAACGGACAAAGTCAGTGTGTGAAGTAACCCTGGCAATTTACAGACTGTTTTTCATCTAGAGCAGCGGTTCTCAACCTGTGGGTCGCGACCCCTTTGGGGGTCAAACGACCCTTTCACAGGGGTCGCCTAAGACCATCAGAAAACACATATATAATTACATATTGTTTTTGTGATTAATCACTATGCTTTAATTATGTTCAATTTGTAACAATGAAAATACATCCTGCATATCAGATATTTACATTATGATTCATAACAGTAGCAAAATTACAGTTATGAAGTAGCAACAAAAATAATTTTATGGTTGGGGGTCACCACAACATGAGGAACTGTAATAAAGGGTCGCAGCATTAGGAAGGTTGAGAACCACTGATCTAGAATATATAAAGAGCTCTTATGACTCAACTAGAGGCCCAGTGCACAAAATCGTGCACAGAGAGGGTCCCTAGACCTGGCCAGCGATCAGGGCCTTCCGGCTCTGGGGCCTCCCTTCCCTGGCTGCCAGCTGCCGGCAGGGGCCTTACTTCATTCTGCGTCGCCCCCTGGTGGTCAGTGCACATCATAGCAAGCGATAGGTCTCCCGGTCAAACTCCCGCAGGGACAATTTGCATATTAGGCTTTTATATATATAGAGATAAGACATACAACGAAATTTTTTTAAATGAGCAAAAGATTTGAATTGAGATTTCACAAAATAAAATATATGAATGTCAAATAAGCCCTTAAAAAGATGCTCAACATCTAATGTACCTACTACATACCCACAAGAGAGGGTTAAAATTATAAAGAACAACAATATGAAGCACTGACAAGAATGTAGAACCTCTCAAACACTGCTACTGGCAGTGTGAAATCATACCATCATTTTGGAAAACAACTTGCCAGTTTGTTATCAAGTTAAAAGTACACTTTCCAAAAGATCCAGCATTTTCACTCCTTCGTATTTACCCAGAAGAAATGAAAACACAAGTCCACACGAAGACTTGTCCACAAATGTTCATAACAGCTTCATTTGTAATACCAAAAACTGGGAGGACAATCTGTGGTCTAGCCATACAATGGGATTGATTCTCTTTCAAATAAGGAGCAAACCACTGATATACACAGCAACATAATCAAATCTCAAAAGCATTATGCTGAATGAAATAAACCATTCACAAAATAGTACATAGCATCTGGTGCCACTTCTAGTGTGTTTAGGAACAAAGTAAATTTATCAGTAGTGGCAGAAGTCAGATGAATGAGTTCCCGAGATGGGGAGTGAGAGGAAATACTGCACAGGTGTACAAGAGAGCTTTCTGGAGTGATGGAAATGTTTGATATTTTGTTTGGGGTGTTGGTTACATGAATGTATCTTTTAATCAAGACTCACTGAACTGTATACTTAAAATTAAGAACATTTTATTGTGTGTAAGTTATACTTTAGTAAAGTTAATTTTTAAAAAAATATGTAGGGACTGAACTGGAAATCACTTAGACATGGTTTAAATTTAAATTTTTTCTCTATAATCTGATTTATTCTAATATTTTGTTTCTTGAGTTTAATAGTAATACAAAATTTCATGTCAGTTTAGCCTATATGAAATGATTATAAATTTCAAAATTGAAAAATCAGTTCATTGAAGCTTTAAACTTTCAAAAGAATTCCAGAATTTACTTTATCCACATGAATGACTAAGTTGTTTCTAGGACGTACACTAATTCTTAAATATAAACTATACTGCATGACAAATATGCTCACCCATACTTAAATATAAATGCATTGGTAGTTTAGTGACATAAATGCATCTAACCACACAAAAAATTAGATCCATTTCTATGAATTAGCAACTAGCTAAGTGTCCCCCTTCTGCATACAAGCAGATAGAAAAAAAAATTCATTCATTGACTCTTTTAATCTCTTCCCAGTGACACATGAGAAGACAGACCAGGAAAAGCACATGATATGAGATAAGAAACTTTGCTTCAATTTCATCTTTAGACCCACTTACAGCATTGGCTATAGGGTATTTTCTTCCTCCTTCCAGCCATCTGGAAAAATGTTATAACAGAGAGTTATAAGGTTATATGACTGAAAGTGGATCTGAAAGAATTTTTTGAAATGCAGATAACCCAATTAACCTACTATTATTTATTACTGCAGAAATGGCTTTAGAGGTAGTTTATTAATGAGAATTTTCAAATCATTCCATTCATCATATCTATAATTTAAAACCATCATCATAAAAAAGGAAAATAAAAAGTACTTTTTAGAATAACACATTGAAGTGGTCTTCAAAAAGCAGCATTTCAAGAGTTCTTTAGTTTAAGACAAAGACATCAGCTCACTTAGACACACATCGGCATTAATAAATACATTTCTGTGATAATCAAGTTATTATCACCTGCATGATCACTTCCAAATAAGATGACGAGGGCGGTCTCAGCATTAACACCAAGTGTCAAGGTCTGGACCACCCGAAGTGCTCCTAGGGGTGAACCAATGTACCATCCGAAGAGTAGGATACACACCAGGTGATGTTAAAGATTCACCTGTTCTTCCCCTTGGAACTAGTTCTAAAAAAAAAAAAAAATCTTCCACATGATCAAATAAAAACATATTTCTTCTTCATTTACTCTTCATTATTTTTAGCCTCCAAAGGCTTATATATCAATCCATTAAAAAAAAAAAAACTGGCTCTGAACCAAACCAAAAAGAAAGAAAAAAAAATCCAAAGAGTGTTCTACGGTGCTCTGTGAATATTAGGGTGTGGCATCCACGTGAAAGTTGTCAAACTGTGCAAAATCAAAGGAGTGAGTTCCAATCGCAGCCCAGCCATTCTTGGGGAAATTCACTGGGACCTCTGACCACAGAAGCTTGCCATTCAACATGCCGGCCGAGAGATGACCCTGGGGGCAAGAAAGGCGACCCTTGAAGACATATGAAAATGATTGTCCGGAGTCCATTTCTTAATAACCTGTGGCCCACCCACTTAGCAGAGCAAACACCCTCCTCTCTTAAGACTTCCTGCAGGAAAACAATTCCACGGGTTGGAACAAAAGTTTGAAATACAGGAACAATATTCTCTGAGGAAATTCTTATCTACCTATGTAATAGTTTCCAAGGCACAAGGAATATCACATACTTCCTTGGACTCTTCCAAAATGTAAAACCCACAAATATGTGAAACTTTTCATAAAATTATTATAAAATGTTAGACAAGAGCCCACTGAAATAAAAGAAAAAACATTTGTTTTTTACAAGTGGTTGTATGTGCATGGGTCGTGGGCATACATGAGTAATGGAACCAAAATGTCCATATATGTAAGTCCTTTCTGTCCCAGTGTACAGAATATAACTTCAAAGTCATATGAAGAGCCCAACCTTAGTTAGAAAACTAGTCACCATCAGTGATGATTGCCAGGGGCAGTAAGAAGGGAAGTAGCATAGAAATGACTTAGTGGCCCTAACCTGTTTGGCTCAGTGGATAGAGCGTCGGCCTGCAGACTGAAGGGACCCGGGTTCGATTCCGGTCAAGGGCATGTACCTTGGTTGCGGGCACATCCCCAGTAGGGGGTGTGCAGGAGGCAGCTGATCGGTTCATCGATGTTTCTAACTCTCTATCCCTCTCCCTTCCTCTCTGTAAAAAGTCAATAAAATATATTTTTTTTAAAAAATGACTTAGTGGTCACTGATAGAGGAAGATAAAGTAACATCCTCTTCATGTGGCTGCCATTCCTACTTAGTTAAGGGCCTGGCACACAGTGAGTAAATGCTAGCCGGCGCTTATTATCATTATTATAGTACATTTATGAGCATATATTCACAGCGTGCAATTATAGCTAAACATTTCAAACTAGCTAATTTCAAAGGATGAAGAGCTAAAGATCCAAAGCATGAGGCCAAGAACTAAAATTAAAACTGTTTTTAAGTCTATAATGCAATAGACTTCAATTTAGCTCTTTCATTTTACAGATGGAGACACTCAGACTGAAGATTAAAAACCAAAGTCAAGATTTACCAGCAGAGCTAGGAATTGAATCCTAGCTTTCCACATGCATCCCTGTTTCTACACACTTGCACAGCCACCTCAGCTCTAGACGTGCTCATTAAACAACTCCTGCCACTTATGGAATGGTGAATATTAACACAGACCCAAGGGACTCACATACACAAATCATATTAAGCACAACACCTGTCTAACAGTACCTCATCTCCTCGCCACCCCCCAACCCCCACTCCCCAGGCATTGGCCAACCTGGCCGAGCTGCTCCTCACACAAGGCCAGTCCCAGTGGCACCCTCAGATCAAACATTGCCCACTCCAAAAGGTCTTGCCTGACCTCTCTATCGAGAAAATCCAATCTGGTAAGCTACTTTATCTCATTATTCCATATTGTTATTCATAATTTATTTATTGATTTATCTACAAGTTCACTGCCTTAAGAACAAGAGTCAACCAACTATGGCCCACAGGCTAGCCACCTGTTTTTATAAATAAAACGAGAGGCCTGGTGCATAAGATTCGTGCACTCAGGAGAGGGGCGGGTACCTCAGCCTGGCCTGCACCCTCTCACAGTCCAGGAGCCCTTGAGGGATGTCCGACTGCTGCAGAGGTGGGAGAAGCTCCCGCCACCGCCGCTGCACTTGCCAGCCGTGAGCCTGGCTTCTGGCTGAGTGACACTCCCCCTGTGAGTACACACTGACCACCGGAGTGCAGCTCCTGCATTAAGTGCCTGCCCCCTGGTGGTCAGTGTGTATCATAGCGACCGGTCATTCCACTGTTCGGTTGATTTGCATATTAGCCTTTTATTATCTATATATATAAAAGGCTAATATGCAAAGTGTTTCCTTGAGAGTTCAACCGGGAGAATGGAAGTTCAATTGCTCGTTATGACATGCGCTGATCCTTGTGGGGTGGGCGAGCAGCGGCAGTGACGGTGGGGTGCTGAGGGAGGGAGGGAAAGAGGAGGCGGGAGGCTGGGAGGCGGGGGGTGGATGGGAAGAGGGAGACACATGGTGGTGGTGTGTGGGTGGTGAGGGAAGGAGGAGCAGGGGAGGCGGGCAACCTGAGAAGCCCTGATTGCTAGCCAGGCCTAGGGACCCTACCCATACACAAATTTCATGCACTGGGCCTCTAGTATAGGATAATAGACAAGCAGAGCAATATAAAGAACAGAGAAATGTTCAGAAACAAGCTATGCGCACGTGATGACTTATTACATCAAAAAATGTGGCCTTCAAATCATGGGCAAAAGGACAGTCTATATAATAAATGATGATAACTATCAATTTGCTTAAAAAGATTATATCGGGCTCTTCATCTTATAATTCACAAATAAATGCCAAATGGATTAAAGACTTAAACATAAAACGCATCCCAAACTTTATTTAGTTTGGGGGCAGGGAGAAAAGCTCCTAATTTAAAGAAAAGGGACGCTTTCTTAAACAAAATATAAAACAAATGAAGAAAATGTGAAATATTTGACAATACCAAAATTTTAAATTTCTATTCATGAAACATACCATAAGCAAAATTAAAATACAAATCATGAGAACAAGAAAACAGGAGAAAATATCTGTAACACATATAACAGACTATCCAGAATACTAGTACATAATAAACTCATATAGGTCCATCAGAAAAAAACAACACAGTAAGAAAATCAGGAAAGAATTCGATGGGTAACTTCAGAGAAAAGTTATATAAATATAAAATGGACAATAAATATAAAATGTACAACCTAATTATCAAGAAAATATAAATCATATCTATCAGTTTGAAAAAAATCTTTAAAACTTGATAATATCAAATATTATTATAAATGCTATAGAATTGATACAGTTTGACTAGCAACAGGGTAGTATCTGTTAAAATTTAAAATGCAATTCCACCTCTAAATATCTGCCTAAACAAATAATAGAACATGTGTACCCCAAGAGGCACATAAAAGATCTCTCCCCTCTATCTGCAAAAAGGCATCCTTCACTGCCTCAGTTCCCTGTACAAGGAAAGAACTGGGAACAAAATTATGCCCATCAAGTATGTATAGTTAAGTAAACTATGATGGTCCATACATATTGGTACTACCTGAAAATTTAGTATTGTCATTTTGGTGATTGGGTAAGGGAAGAGAACAAGTTCAAAAATTTCTCTGAATTCCATTTAAATCTCTATTATAACCTGAACAAAGTTATGCCAGGTCTATCTTGGTATAGAGAAGCATGTTTATACAGAAGAATTTCTCCATAGAGCATCCCTTAGAACCATGTCAATCAACAACTCATGATCAACCAGTGAGTCTGACAAATATTCTTAGAGGCCCATGGTACTGCAATGAACCTGGTATCTTCTCTGACAAATATATTCATGGAAACCAACTTTGAAAACATTGTGCTTACAGTAAAAAAACAAATTATATTCAACCATCAAAAATAAAGTTATGGGACTTTGCTTAAACCTATAAGCTCTAATGATAATCTTCAAGCAAAATTGAAAAAACAAGTTGAATTATTGGGTAATAAAGTCAACAGCTGATGGCTCTCCTGTGGGTTTACCCTGACACATACTACTATTCCAGGGAGTGGTGGTTTGCTGGTATCATGCCATACTTTCTGCCTATTTCTACTACTTATCACCACCACCACCTCCCCATCTATTCACAGAAAATGCTAGAAAGGGACAAGAGAAGAACATCTTACCTCCAGGCATGCTGATCAGCAATACTTACCTTAATAGTTAAAGTGAGTGTATACCATTCTTGTGCCGTAACCTCAGCTTGCCCTACAGCATATATGAGCCATCCAGCTGCAACACAAAAAGGTTATCTAAATCACAGAATCACAGAACTCAGTGGGGGCTCTCAGGTGGCTTTTGTATGTAGTAGAGTCGACCTTAATAAACATCTACATTTCCAGATCTACAAATGATTTAAAACAAAACATCTTTCATTTGAGCATGCATTCAACAAGCACATATTGAGATCCTACTCTGGACCATATACTATCTGCGAAATCACCAGAGAACCAGAGAAATAAACTCACAAACCAACTATCGTATAACACAATAGCTTCTATAGTTCCGGGGTACACATCTACCTGATTGGACTAAATATGAAGGACAGGAGGAGGATTAAAAGACTACCATAAGATTTCTAGCTGGTGTAACTGATTCATAGTAACAGCATTCACTGAGAATCAGAGAGAGAAAATAATGAGTTAATTTGGGCTGTGATCATGTTTGAGTGCCTGAGAAAAAACCCAGGATGAGACCGAGGGGGTAGTTTAAAACACAGAGCAGTGGGGACTAAAGACACAGATTTAAATTCTTAATTCCTATTCTGCCGCTAACTCATTTTGAGACCTGGGGCAAATCAATTAACCTCTCTGGCTCCTGGAGTGGAAAATGTGAGGTACCTTCTAGATCAGTCACACTATGATTATGCAACTTCTACTCTCATGTCCTTATTACCCACTTCCTGTTTCATTTTCATTTTACTATGGAGCCCTTAGGAAGAGGCGGAGAGCGGCAAACTATAGAATTTTTTATTAATGCAAGAGGAAAAGCAGGAAACTAAGAACCAAGCAGAGCCACCACCACAAGGTCTAATTTCAACAGAGCAGTGTGTATCCAAAACCAAAGGGAACTGGATGGAGTTCAACTGGAACCTGGTCTAAGCACCTATTCTGGATAAAACACTATTCTACACAAAACAAGGGCTGCTAAGATGAATGAGAAAAGTCACACCATTTTCAATGTATTAACTAAATTAGGAAATAGGATTACTCTATTTTAAGCATATCAATCCCTCTCCTCACAGTGGCCACCTCCTTGCTTCTACTTACATGTTTCCTGAGCACTCTTCTACCCTCACCCCATCTACACAAATCCCACCCTTACTGCCAGCTCAACTCTGTAATATACGAGAAAGCTTTGCACAAGTTATCTCTCTCTCATCCTATAGAATATGACACTTACCCAGATCACCTGTCACTCTGTAGGTGCCATTTGCGAAAATCCAGAAGAAAATCCCTCTGGCGCTTCTAATCAAGATGCCACCTTTATTCACTCTTCCGGCAATGAACACACCTCCCTTCCCAGGGGTCTCTATGTAAACATCACACGTGATGGTCATGTTGGACCTGGAGAATGAAACGGCTGGTTAGGCTTTCCATTATGCCCTGCCGAGCATAGCAGGATGATGCGTCAGTGCACAGCCCCGTGCTTCCAAACCTCTAATGGAGGTGAGTACGGGATCTGCTACATCTGTGCTTGTAGCAAGAATGGGCTTCGAGAGTCTTCACTGATGATGGCTTTAAGTTTTACAAGACTAAAGTCAACGCATTTCATTGCCTCTTTTAATGAATTACTGGAAAATAATATTTACTGTTTTTAAGTTTCTTAAGACTATATTTCTTCTCTCTATAACAGCGTCTCATCCATCCTAAGAATAAATAACATTAAAAGAAGACATTTTTCTAGGAATTCGTAAAAGGCAATCTCCCAATAATTCTGAACTAAAAGGTTTATTACATTTCCATCAGCAAAGATAAGCAGCGAGAGCAATGGCAGGAGCTTCTGGGAAAACATCAATGACTTGAGGGATAAGTTTTACATTTAACACTAAGAAGACCTAAAAACTCCAGACAAAAGCTCTAAAGTTATTTCTCTGCAAAGACAGAGCCAACTCTATGTGGACTGTACAGCTGGGGTTTTCAACCTGAGCAGCAGAGAGACCAGCAGGAGGGCCTGTTAACCTGAGCAGGTGGAGGGCGAGCCCCTTGAACCTGCTGTCTAACAGATTCCCAGGTGATGCAGATGCTGCCGGTCCGGGGATTCCAGCTTGGGAACCCTTTTCTCCCACAGAGCATCTCTGCTTATACAGAGGCAGTAAAGCTCTGGCTCTGAGATGACTAATGGACAGTAGATTCAGCCAACCACGAGCCGGCAGGGCTAGGACTTGACTCTCCTCCAGGCTTCCTGTTATAAATGCTACTAGATACCTTAAGCAGCGACCGAGCCACCTCAAGATAACATGATCTCTGAAAAAAATTCACCTCGCACTCGAAATATAACTGCAAACAAGAAAGCAAGCCTGACCGTAGCCAAGTAATAAAGCAAGCAATCTACCTAAAATAAAAATTAAGAATGCCCCCAAGTATTTTGGAAATGGGGTAAACTGGATCTAGAATTACGTGGCTTTTACATTTCTCGGAGTTTTTTATCAGTAAAATTTGCACAGTGGAATTTTACTATGTAAATGAAAATATTAAAAAAAAAAGCACCTACAACAGGTATACAACAATAAGGGAACTCACATTTAATCCTCTAATCAGAGCTGGGCTACTTTAGGGGAAAATCAAATGCTAAGTAAGTAAAGCCAGTCTCTCAGGTATGTCCTCCCATAGTAATCAATATATCCCTACCTCTCTTCTGGTTCCTTAGAGTTCGAATGTGCTACAGATACTGTCCGCATCATAAATTACTTGATTTAGAGTGAGAGAAGAGTGAACATTTTCCTTTCTTTTACGTCCCATCCCATTCCAGAATAAGAGATTCCTGCATCAGAACTTACATTTTACAGATAATGAATGAAGTAGAGTAACAGTGTGGAGTACTCTTCCATAGCCATAGTCTCTCAGTGGTGCTGAGAGAACAAAACCCAGCCCACATATTAAGCAAATTTGACCAAAGGGATGTAGAGTTTGGATGTGTGCAGCAAAAGGTAACTTTGGGAGGTTCTTTTGTGTGTGTTTCTAAATATTTTTCTAAATTAATTTTTAGAGAGAGGAAAGGAGAGGGAGAGGGTAAAACATGGATTGGCTGTCTCCTGCACACCCCCAACAGGGATCGAGGTCACAACCACGCATGTGCCCTGACCAGGAATCCAACAGGCAACCTTTCAGTGCTCAGGACGATGCCCAACCAACTGAGCCACTCCAGCCAGGGCAAAGGTAACTTTGTGATTGTCTTCAGATCCCAAACAAAGCTTACTAACAAATGAAAAATCTTAAGTCGCTCAGGGGAAGTCTACCTAAAGTACTGTGCTGGTACTTATGTACGTGTAAGCATGACAGAGAGGAAGTTCTACTGCAAACACAGATCTAAGAACCGGCAGCCCTGTGCACACATGGAGAGCTGGTTCACAAAAAGAGAACTATAGAGAAAGCTCACTAATGTTCCCCTTCCTACTCTGAGGAAGAAGACGATGATTAAAATGAGGCTGTGAGGTGTGGTCCAAAGAGCATGGGCTACAGAACCAGAGAGAGCTGGCCTCTAACACTGGTTCTGCAATTTACTAGGGTGGGATCATGGGCAAATCTTGCCTGGAAGCCTCAGTTTCCCAATCTATAAGCTGGGAGGATGAGACCTCTGCCATAAGGTGGTTGTGGGGAACTCACACCAGTGTTTAGAATTTCCTCTGTAAGGGTCCTAAAAACTATGGATAGCTGACAGCTTCTCAAGGTGTATCAGAGCTTGGGGCTAGAATTGTGATTTTTAACAGAAAATAGGCAATACAGAAGGGTAAGGTTTTCTGCAGCATTCCACAGATAAACAATTCAACGTTCTTTTCAGAACTATATTCCCCACCCTGTCCAATTTCTAAACTACAGATAGGCTGTTTGGTGGCTTGGTATTAATAGCTAGTATCACTAAACCTGGAATGGTTTAGTGGAATTATACCAGCTAAAAAGAAAGATAGAAAAAACACACACCAAAAACAGGTATAATAACCAGTACATTGGAATTCCATAACTGACTTAACGGGGAAAAGGAGTTCTGATTTGGTCATTATATTTTAAGTGAAAAACAAATACAATTTGTCTCTTTACCAGATGCCTAAAAAGAAGAGTTGAATTCCCTATCCAACTAAAAGCTAATTTTCACGATTGCCATCTACAGTCACAGGCTAGCACAGTGTAATTCTAGTATAAATCCAGCAGGTGGCACCACTAGATCAAAAAACAAACCCAAAAAAGCTACTCAAATTATAGACTGTAAATAAATGCTAAATTACTATTGATCCAAAAGTCCTCAATTTTTATATTAAAATCTTCTGTTGCTGGAATAATTACTACGAAACTGGGAAAATTTGAGGGAAGGAAACTGACACAGCAAAACAACTTGCTACTTTGTGGTCACCCTAATAGTCAATAACTATCACACCTATTAGGTGCCTGGACAGGAGGACGTGGAAAAGCCTTTGTTTCAGAATGTACCCAACAGCACGACAAGGTTACTGCAGTCAGATCTACGTCAAGAACCCAGCATCACGTACCACTTGTAATCCCCGATAATGCTGATGGTGCTGGACGCATCCGCAGCCCACGTAATGGGTCGCTGATTGAGAACTTGGCGCAGCGTGAAGCGGTGCTCTCCCGGGTCTTCCGTATTCATGAAGTATTCAAACACGCCCGTCTGGTCAGCAAAATTCGGGGCTTCACTAAAAAACGGGTATTCTGTTCAGAATACAATAAATTCTCTGTTTAATATCAAATCCTCACTGAACATTTTCTCTCGGAGATTTTATGGTACATTTTAAAACACTGCTGCAAAGTTCTAAACGAGGAAACGAAACTTACAACCAGAGTTTAGGGTTTAGGTTACTAATGAGATATTGATTTTACGCTGTCATTATTAATGTCAATATGATCAGTGTGATATACAGACATTACATATTTAACCTGTGCATCTGCTGAAGGGAAAAGACCATGAATTCTGGAGGAAGGCAGACCTGGGTTCAAGTTCTAGTCTGGCCCTGGGCAAGGTGCTCCACTTCCCTGTCTCCCAGTTTCCTCATTTCGAAGTGGGAGGAGGACAGAGAATAAATCCATGAAAAAATGTATACAAAGTGCAGACATAAGCCAGCCCTGGCCAGGACTCAACGAGAGACAGTTGTGTTATTTATATCTGTCAGACAAGGTTCTAGTCACTGCTCACAGTCATCAGCTGAGAGAACATTAGAAAAGGCTCATGATACCAAACACAGGATTTAGAACTCACAAATTTTCTTCTCTTTCTAAAATGGAACAAAAAAATCAGTGTTGAGCCTAAGCTATCAATCTCTTCTTAGTTTTATTAAATTATAGTCTTACCATGATGAAGGCGCTAGATGAGCAATTTTAGTCATAATATCTTACAGCAATTTCTCACTTCATGATTTTCCAAGTGTTTTCACATTCGCCACATCATTTGAGATATTAAAAACCCTATAAAGTAGTTTCGAACCCTGGCCTCTGGTGTTTAATTTCCGTTTTAGTGTATTTTAGATTGGAAGGGTGAGGATTGCCTTCCATCTGCAGGTCACAGAATAAATGGTCGGGGTGCCCACAGGCCATGTCCCACGCTGACCCCTCCTGACCGAACACAAGGAGGGTCACTGCTGCAGACAGAGGACTACGCCGGACGCTAAGATAATGGAGGCCATTTCAGGGACTAGCAAGAAAACAGCACCATGCTCCGCTGTGGAGGGAGGGTCACTGTTGCCTGGTTCATCCTAAAGATTGAGAGGACTCAGTCACAGTGCAAACGGCCTCGTACTCTAGTCAACCAGGGATCGGTTCCTGGGGAAGGAGCTGAGACCCTGGCAGAGACCACTGGGCAGGGGTGTAGGAGTCTGGGAATCTCACCAGCAGCCCCGCAGCAACAGGAGGCTGGGTCTCTCTCCCAAAGCCAGTCTCCCTCCCTCCTTCTCCCCTCCAGCTGTGGATCCCAGGAGCAGAAAACCTGACCCTGCTTGTGAGGTCCATGATGCTATGCACCCACACCTACCAGTCACCAAGTCTTGTCGATTGCTGAGGGATCTAGGAATACAACGACTAAATTACCAGCAGTTTTCCTACATTTGCAAGATTTCCTAAATTTCCTATCATTAAAAGCTTTTCTAACAGCATCAGGACAGATCTTCCCAGAAAACCAGGAGGGCACACACATAAAACCCACAGGCACACTAGAGGGTGGACAATGAGTTGGATTACCCAAGGATAGAGCAACTGCCCACAAGCACTCAGTCCACTAACACTATGGGAGGACAGATGTGAATGTGCCTTAAACTCTACACAAAGGACAATGGCTTTCATGAGACATGGGTAAGGGGCAGTAGCAGTGTAACAAATCTTAGGTTTCATCAAAAACTACTTAGAATTCTTTCATTCTGACAAGGACCTCAAGGCTTTTGCTGGCACTGAAAAATACAGGGTCCTCAAGTGGAGATTCACCCTGAAGTAACATAAAAGATAAGAAACAGAGCTAAATGAATGCACTTTTCGCAACGTTAGGTCACACACTGGTTTCACCGGTAGAATCTCTCCACGACTGATAAAAATGGGAACCAAGTTAAAGTTGTAGTGAAGGAAACTCACCAACGTTGAAGTCATCCGTGTAGACGGGTGGGAAGGGCTGGGACTTGGGAGGCGGCGGGTAGCTGCCTTTGCTGCCGGTGGTGAGAGTGGTGAGTGTGAACAGCTCATCCTCCTGCAGCTCCACTGTGAAGCTGCCGCTGCTGTCAAGGAGCTAAAAAGAAAACGTGGTGTCAAGGACAGGGCTTTGGCTCGTCTCATTTGGGCAAAATGGCTTTTTAAAACAGAGGCTCAAAGATAAGCCAAACTCATTTCTGTTAGAACTTCCTAACCACTTGTAAAGGACACACCCCAGATCAAGGCCCTCCAAAAAAATGTTAAGTTATTATGAAGAGTTTATAAGATTATTCTTCATAGAAAGCATTTTTTACAGAATTTCTCTACATGGAGGGAAGGACTAGATGATCCCCAAATCTACTTCTATTAGTCTATTATTTTCCATTACACTGTAAGTTCCTTAAAGCTTGTACAGGAGTGGGCAAAGGTAGGCTTATAGTTAGTTATATGGAAAATAGTATAAAAATTAATAATATAAGAACAAATTTTTGCATACTAACAACTGTAAACCGACTTTTGCCCACCCTTGTACATGTATGTGTTTTAACTATTACATCATTGTCTATAATAAAAATAGCATATATATATATATATACACACACACATATATATACACACACACACACACACACACATATATATATATAACACTTCATATGTGTTTGTGTCTACATATGCTTATATAGAGAGTGGCACAAGTCAGTTTACAGTTGTGTATATGGAAAATAATATAGTAATTAATAAATAAAATACAAGAATAAATTTTTTCACATATTGCCAACTGTAAGCCTACTTTTGTCCAACCCTGTACATATTTAATACACATAACTAGGAGATCTGCTTATTTACTTTTTAAGACTTTACTAATTTTTTACTAAGGTAGAAAAATCCATAAAATCTCACTGGTAACTCAGGAAACCTTTTACTGTTAAGGAAAAAATAGTTCAACTCATTCTATGTTCAATATATATTTCAATTAGCAAGTTAGGTTTATAAGACATTTATGATCTTAGCAAATTAATCTCTTTAAGTCACAATATCCTCATCTACAAAATGAGGCAAAGCTATGCATACTTCCCAGGGCTTCTGTGAGGATTGAATGAGATAATATTTCTACAGTGCTCCTAGCCCAGTGTGTGACCTATGAAAACACTTCCTCTGCCTTACCTGTTGTGTACAATTAATGTAGGCATTTGCTGTACGCCTAGTCTATGAAATTTGAGCAGCTTTCTTTCTACTTTGAACTAAAGGAGGTTCTATTCTATCTTTGCTTTAATAATAAATTGTTGGTCAGATCTATGAAATATCTAACACCATATTTTGGCTCAGAAATAACCCCAAATGACATTATTTTTCCTGTGGGGAAAATCAATTTTATTATGCTATTTCTAGCAATTGTTGTACAAATAAAACAGACTGTCCTTTTTTCCGGAATTTAATATTAATGCATGTTCAATCATTGGGAGTGGCTAGCGGGTTCACAGGATATGAATAATTACCAGATTTGTGTCCATTAGGGGAAGTAATGCGCTTGCTTAGGCCAATCCATTCTCTGAACTATTTCCTGAGAAACCACCATGTACTCAGCACTACAGCAGGCCCTTGGATAAAAAGCTAAAGAAGGCAGGGCCTCAGGCCTCAAGGTGGCCAGTGCAGTGGGAAAGTGTTTAACTGGACAAGCACATCTTCCCAGGTGGAGATGAGCTAAGGCTGATGGGAAAGCCCCCGAGAAAGTGACCTTAAGCTGAGTCTTGAAGACATGTGGTGAGAAATTCTAGGAGGAAGAAAAGGCATGTGCAAAGTCACAAAAGTAGTTAAACTGGCATGCTATGCTCTGGAAAATGCAAGAAGTTTAATTTGTGAGGCCAGTTTCATAGGACATACATCTTGAGGTCATATGGAGTGTCATGGGCTGCACTAAGAGATATGAACTTACAGGAAAAATCACTGAGGCACTTTAAGCAAGAGAGGAGAGAAATCCGATCTGCATTTTAGACACATCACTCTGGAAGCAGTGCGATGGGGGTCTGGAGAGAATCAGATTAGCGGCTGGGGAAATAGGAGGTGGTTTCCAAAATCCGGGAGCAAGATAATGAGGAATGGAATCAAGCAGAGGCAGTGGGAAAGGGGAATGAGGCATGGGTAAGAGAGACGTGTGGATGGTAGAATCCCTATCCTCGATCGCTGGTGGTATATAAAGCGTGAGTACATGAAGAGTGGGAAAGATAGTTTCAAATGAGACTCCGATTTCTGACTAGAGCAGCCAAAGAAAATGATGGTGGTATCATTCACTAAGACAAACCAACTGCTTTGAAGAGGATCTCTATTTTATAAAAACAAAAACTGCTTGGGGAAAACTTTCTCTCCAGTATGCTTCAGCCATAAAATCAATTATAAAATTAAAAATTCTTAATTCATTAATCAAATTTCTGTTCCCTTAAACCAGCGGTTCTCAACCTGTGGGTCGCAACCCCTTTGGGGGTCAAATGACCCTTTCACAGGGGTTGCCTAAGACCATCCTGCATATCAGATATTTACATTACAATTCATAACAGTAGCAACATTACAGTTATGAAGTAGCAACGAAAATAATTTTATGGTTGGGTCACAACATGAGGAACTGTATTTAAAGGGCCAGAAGGTTGAGAACCACTGACTGTTGCAATGCTCAATACATAGGAATTTGTTTTAAAACTACCCATAGAGAATCCAGCTGTTTAAAGAGAAACCTCTCCGATGACTTCCCAAGCTTGGTGTACCACACCTGCAGCTCCAGTATTTCACTCTGAGGAGAGAACACACAGAAAGCACAGCTGAGTGGCTTGTCATACCCTTCTGAGGATTCCCAAAGTCAGTACCAGCAAGAACGAACCAGTGGCCATATGCACTTTTTCTCTATCCACCGAAAGGCCTGCATCTCAAATTTAAACGGTAACATTTTTAAAGTAGAAAAGCATTATTCAAGCAAATATTTTATTTCCTATAAATCTACAGACTTTGGCAAATGTTTATTTTAGTGCCTTGGCTTCAAAAATACTCATTACTGTACTTGTGTGGAAAGCTTTTTAAGAATATTCTGGTATTGCCAGGCCTGCGTAGCTCAGTGGTTGAACCTTGACCTATATAAATCAGGAGGTCATGGTTTGATTCCCAGTCAGGGCACATGCCCAGGTTGCAGGCTTGGTCTCCAGTAGGGGGCGTGCAGGAGGCAGCTGATCAATAATTCACTCTCTTGATGCTTCTGTCTCCCTTTCCCTCTTCCTCTTCCTTCCTCTCTGAAATCATTTTTTTTAATATTTTTAAAGAATGTCCTAGTATTAAAAAACCATCCTTAATGCGATTAGTAGTTAGAAAGAGTGCTGCATTTTCTGCATTCAAATCTAACAATAGGTAGAAAGAGCTAGAGTCTGGTCTCTCTTTCTTTTATGCACAGAGCACTATATAGATCAATGCTTTAAAGGTCCCCAGACTACATAACTGATGCTCCTGCTTAAGAATGACTTTCCTGCAGGTCACTTTTGTTAAGTGCTCTTCAAGGCCACAGAGCTCTCCCTCCGAGCAGCTCTGGAGTGATAGACTAAAACCAGTCAGCAGCTTCAAGACACGGCATTTATCCACTCATACGCAAACTTTTTTTTTTAACTTTTAGTAAACTTTATGGTAAAGAACAACAAAACAACATTATTTTATAATGATTTTTCTCACCCGTAAGAACATGGGTGGCAACCAGTGACTTTTTTATAAAAATCGTTTCTTTAAGACTCTAATAAGACATCTTGTCTTCTAACTGTAATATATGATTTCATTTAAAAACTGCTAGCCTATGATAAAATATATAAATTCTCAAAACCAAAATAAAAGCCCCACATGTTTACTTACAAAAGAACCCTGAAGAACAAAGGTAGCAATTTGGTGTGACACATTGAAATAAGGAAGCAGTGGCCGTATACACTTAGAATGTTTATGGCTCTGAGGAGAAAAAAATCACATAAATTATCCAAATGATGCACAAGCCATTAGGAAAAAATATTAAATATTTAATGCCCCAATATTAAGAGAAACTATACATATTAGGTGACAACTATGAGTTTATTTTAAATTTTTAAAGACTTTTTTCTAATATAACCTTTATTGAGTGTCCATTGCATATCACTAGTCAAAGTAAAGCTCGCTGGCATTTTGACTGAACCATACTTTGAATTCATAGCTAAATTCCAGTCATTTTATAGCACCCACATTAGAGTTTTTATGTTGTAAATATTTTCCAAGTAAAATACAGTAAGAAAACAAACGCTTGAGATGTATTGAGATGTTTTTACGTCTTATTCTGAGTGAAATCAGCAAGACAAAAAACAGTATGTACTGGATGATTCCACTGAGACAGAAAACTCCAGAAAATGCAAACTATTCTTCAGTGACATAAAGCAATGATGTCACAATGTATGAGGAGTAGCAGGACAGAGGGACTATTTATACAGGGACATGAATCCTCTTAGGTGGGTGATGGATACTCATTCACTACTTTGGTTGTGATGATGGTTTATTGGGCTTATACTTGTTAAACCTTATGAAATTATGCACTTTAAGTATGTGTTTGAAGGAGATCAGGAATAAACCATCACCAAATATGCCACTTTGGTATAAAGATTACTTTAAGTTGAAGATAGTTGAGACTCAACAGATGAAGGAAAACAAAAGGAAGATTAAAAGTAGCAAGTTCTGGGAAATAAGGCTGCCATAATTCCTCTTCAGGGTGCATCTACCCCAGAACGGAGGAATGGGAATAAAAACCTACCCCAAATTTCTAGGGGAGTTTTATGGCCCTGAAGGAGAGGGAAAGACTGCTCATATCAGTCCAGTCAAACACTATCCCAACTTTCTCATCTCCTGTTAGCTCTCCTGAAAACCCATTATCTTTCCCAAAAGTCATTTATTTCCCCAAATGCTCCCTTTCTCCTTTCTCCATTACTCACTAAGCTAGGTGTATAAACTCAAATCCTAACCACCCGCTGAGTGATTTCATCACTGAGTTCCTCCCACATGTATGTGCACTGCATGCACAAATAAATTCTGTTTTCTTTTCTCAGGCTATTCTGTCTTTTGTCAGTTTAATTTGTGGAGCCTCAGCTATTGAACCTGAAAGGGTATAGGGAAAAGTTCCTTCCTCCACTACATACTGCTTATCTATAATAATAAAAGCACAATATGCTAATAAGACCGGACAGCCAAACGACCTTCCAGACATCATTCCGGACGAAGCTGCAGCAGCGGGGGCCAAGGCAGAGGCAGATAAGGGCGATCAGGCAGGCAGGTGAGCAGTTAGGGGTGACCAGGCAGGCGAGTGGTTAGGAGTGATCAGGCAGGCAGGTAGGCAGAGTGGCAATCAGGCAGGCAGGCAAGTGGTTAGGGGCGATCAGGCAGGCAGGCGAGTGGTTAGGGGCAATGAGGCAGGCATGCAGAGTGGTTAGGAGTGATCAGGCAGGCATGCAGAGTGGTTAGGGGCGATCAGGCAGGCATGCAGAGTGGTTAGGGGTGATCAGGCAGGCATGAAAAGTGGTTAGGAGCGATCAGGCAGGCAGGCAGGCAGGCAAGCGGTTAGGAGCCAGAGGTCCTGGATTGCGAGAGGGATGTCTGACTGCTGGTTTAGGCCTGATCCACGGAATCGGGCCTAAACCAGCAGTCAGACATCCCCCGAGGGGTCCCAGATTGCAAGAGGATGCAGGCCAAACTGAGGGATTGCGAGAGGGATGTCTGACTGCTGGTTTAGGCCTGATCCACGGAATCGGGCCTAAACCAGCAGTCAGACATCCCCCGAGGGGTCCCAGATTGCAAGAGGATGCAGGCCAAACTGAGGGACACCCCCACCCCACCTGAATTTCGTGAACCGGGACTCTCGTTGTATATATAATCTTCAAAAGCTGGTTTAAAAAAACAAAGTGATTTAATCCCAACCCCCCTGAAAAAAACAACGAAGAATTACCATTGTTTCAATGATGATGGTGAGGTTACCTAAGCCATCAGTCAGAGCTACGTAGCTTCCTCCTTTCTCTAAATGGCCAACTGTCTTCAGGTAATACCAACCTGGTCGAGTAAACTGAGTAGTATGAGCTACAGAAAAGCATAGAAAGAGCCAAATAAGATAAAAATGGTAATGACAGGGTTGTTTTTTAAAAACCTGTCTACTGATTTGAGTCTGATTAAGTCTAACAAGTTATTTTTTTTATTTTGGAAGAAAATACTTGCCAATTCCATGTTCCAACTTTGGAATAATTAGTCCAGTTAAGTGGTACAATTGTGGGAGGATTCTTAGAATGACTAGTAAAAACAAATGAACCACACTCTGTCAGTTCAAGAATACGATTGTCTTTTTCCAATAATAAAATAAGGTTATCCTCTCCCAACCTTTGTTCATCTCTATTTAACCCAGTGGTTCTCAACCTTCTGGCCCTTTAAATACAGTTCCTCATGTTGTGACCCAACTATAAAATTATTTTCGTTGCTACTTCATAACTGTAATGTTGCTACGGTTATGAATCATAATATAAATATCTGATATGCAGGATGGTCTTAGGCGACCCCTGTGAAAGGGTCGTTCGACCACCAAAGGGGTCGCGACCCACAGGTTGAGAACCGCTGACTTTAACCCATCCTAGTATAACTAGAAAAATAAGGTTTAAAAAGTTAATAATGCATTTCAAAAACTAAGCTTTATGGTTTCAAACAAGTTTATTTACACAATATATATTTCTTGGGCACCTCCAATGCTGGCCCTGAAAATGTACCTGACCCCACATGCAAAAAATCAAGTTCAACATTTAAGGGAGTTAACCAACCAGGACATGTGCCAAACCAGCATGATGATGATTTTTAATTCAAGTTGAGACGGCAGTGCAACACTGACTCTCTCTGTCCCCGAGAGCAGAAAATAAATCTCGCAGGTGAAAGGTACCCTCCCTGCACCAGGAGGCGGAGAGACCGATTCCTTATTGCCAGATTTAGGACACTCAGAACAGAGAAAGCTGTGTAAGCAAACTGCTTAGTTTCTTTTCTTTTTTAAAAATATATTTTTTATTTCAGAGAGGAAGGGAGAGGGAAAGAGACAGAAACGTCAATGGTGAGAGAGAATCATCAATCAGCTGCTGCCTGCACTCCCTCCACTGGACATCAAGCCTGCAAACCTGGGCATGTGCCCTTAATAGGAATCAAACCTGGGACCCCTCAGCCCACAGTAACGCTCATCCCCTGAGCCAAACCGGCTAGGGCACTGCTTCGTTTCTTCAGTAACTAGAACCCAAGGCCATTTTTTTGTCCGGTCAGCTCCTCAGAGGGTGATTGTTCCTTTGTCTAAATGGTATATCAAAAACCTACTCTAATCACATCTTAGGTCCCATATCTATGAGACCTCCACTTGTACAAACTAACTTAAATTTGCTTGTTTTTTTCCTGCTGATAATCTGTCTTTTGTCTATTTAATTGTTAGATAGCCAAAAGAGCCAGGAGAATTAGGGGGGGAGTTTCAGCCTTTCAGTGACGACCCCCTCTAAGAATGTTCTGCTTTGCCCTTAGAGAGGCCTTTAGGGAGTGAGAGGTATGGGAACCATACCTGATATCCAGATAGGAGCTTCCACCACGTAGTGCCCACTCCAGGGCTCCTGGGCAGTCATCAGCCCGCTGCGCCCATAGGGCAACTGCTCATAGTAACTGGCCACCACATTCCAAGCGATTGTTCTAGAAGATTTGTTTGATAAGAGAGAAACACCAAAACATTTGTGATAAAAATGTAAATGTCTAGAATCCTACATAGTAAAAAGATGTACACATAATTTATATAAATACTAGAGGCCCGGTGCACGAAATGCATGCATGGGTAGGGTCCCTAGGCCTGGCCGGTGACCAGGGCCGATCAGGGCCTTCCGGCTGCTGGCTGGGGCCAATGGGACACTTTGCATATTAGCCTTTTATATATACACTAGAGCAGCCGTGGGCAAACTACGGCCCGCAGGCCGGATCTGGCCCGTTTGAAATGAATAAAACTAAAAAAAAAAAGACCGTACCCTTTTATGTAATGATGTTTACTTTGAATTTATATTAGTTCACACAAACACTTCATCCATGCTTTTGTTCCGGCCCTCCAGTCCAGTTTAAGAACCCATTGTGGCCCTTGAAGTCAAGAAGTTTGCCCACCCCTGTACTAGAGGCCCAATGCACGAAATTCGTGCAAGAGTAGGCCTTCACATATTCCCCAGCTGCCAGCACCGGCTTCCCTG